ACCTTGCACTTGTCTGTGTTGAATCCCATCCTATTCTCATGTGCCCACCCTTGTAACCTGTCTAGGTCTGATTGTAGCCTGTTGCTTCCTTCTAGTGTGCCCACATCCCCCCACATCTTAGTGTCATCAGCAAATTTGAACAGGGTGGTTTTTACCCCCTCGTCCAAGTCACTGATGAAGATATTGAACAGCGCGGGCCCGAGGACCGAGCCCTCCGGAACCCCATGGCCCACGTCCTTCCAGGTTGAGAAAGACCCATCCACTACCATCCTCTGGGTGCAGCCCTCCAGCCAGCTGGCGACCCATTTGACTGTGTGGGTGTCTACACCACAGCCCCCGAGTTTCTTAATGAGAAGGGGGTGAGACAGTGTCGAAGGCCTTCCGGAAGTCCAGGAAGGCTATGTCCACTGCTACCCCTGCGTCTAATGATCTGGTGATACGATCGTAAAAGGCCACCAGGTTGGCCTGACAGGACTTTTGTGAGGTTCTAAGTTGGAGCTAAATCTCCATAGCTTTAAACCTGAATGAAACAAGTTTTAAGTTACCATGGTTTAGCTTCTCTTATGCAGCAGCTGAGCTCATGCTAAAATTCTCTTGTCCTGAGCATACAGTTATATTCAGACTCACTAGGGCATGGTTCCAGACTGGGACAGAGCTTGACATCAGCAGATGACCCCTCACAGTGCATCCCACTCTTTGAATGGTTGCACAGGCGGATCCGTATCTGGTTCTGGTACCCACAGGTGACTGTGCACACAGACCATGGAGACCATGGCAACCACCTGCTTTTTGCTGCCATACAAGAGCCAAAAAAACAAAACAGATTTAGAAACGCTTTGCTCCTCAACCCTTCCCAGTCATAGGTAAGGAGTGATTCTGTGTCCTTACCTTCACAGTGAACTCCATCACCAATAAACCCACTCTGACACATGCAGAAATAGGAGCCAAGGGTGTTCAGACAAGTAGCATCCTGATTGCAGTTGTGGGTGCCTCTTGCACACTCATCTATATCTAGAAAGGGGACAGAAACCCACACCAAGTTTTCCCACTTAAAATGCAGCTTATACAGAACTCGAACAAAAAAAAACAAAAAAAAAAAAAAAATCACCAGGGACACCAACCCAGGGGAAGCATCATTGATGTTGGCTTGAGTTTGGCTTGACTGGAGGCCCAGCAAGGAGTGGGACTTGGTTTCCAATGGCCTCCCCAAGTCTGAGTTATTGTGATAGATCTGCCAGCCTGTCCTTTTCCCGAGTTTATCCAAATGCCACATCCACTGCTTGCTTTGAGCCCTGTATCACAAGCCCAGCTTCTCTTTGTTTACCTATTTCAATTATGTGGGCTTCAAAAAAATAGACTTGTTCCTAAACCTAACAGTTGCAACAGATTAGCTCATAAGCTAGTCTGATTACAACATGTCCCTGGAGTTGGGAGCCTGTTTTCTTTCACCTGTGCAGCTGTACAATCCATCTCCTTCAAATCCTGCTGGGCAATGACAACGGTAGGATCCATACAAATTGATGCAGTTAGCCTTGGGGGGGCACTTCCGGGGCATTCTTTCCATACACTCATCTTTGTCTGGAAGCAGAAACCAGTGCATATGTTTATGGTAGAGAACAGCTAGGTACTAAGAGCTGTACTGCCATTTGTACAGCAGATACAATGGTTACACCTGCATCACTGTTTGTGAACCCATTGAGCTCACTCAAACCCACATCTGTATGCACTCCAGGGTTTCTTCCGCACCCAAGCACGGGTCCTTGACTTACGTTGAAACAGTTTTGTGAGCAGTCATAGAAAATGTGATCCGTGGCTCGGTATGTGTACATGGGATGCGGTTACTGAGGAAGTTGAATGTAGGTTGCTTAGTATGAGGCACTGAATGGCTGAATGCTACAGGATCTCCTGTATTTCCTTTGACTTTGTTCACACAATCGGAGCCTTGCAGAAAGCCAAGTACATAAATATTTACCCACACAGTGGCTGCCGTTTCCCTCAAATCCAGGGTTACAGTGACAGTACTTTTCACCTGAAGACCCGCTGCATACTTTGCTGATATCTGAAGAAATAAAGTAAATGCATATGTGCCCAAACCCAAATCCAAGCAAGACCCCAGACACAGTAAAGTAACTGGTCTGTTTTATTCTTCCTGCTAATTCAAGTCAAGAAGGCTTGCTTGACTTTTTAAATATAAACATATCACATGCTGTTTTATAGAATCATTCACCACCTCAGATTTTAAGGCCTGAAATGACCATTAGATCATTTAGTCCAGGGGTTCCCAAACTGTGGTACACGTACCTAGGGGCACACAAGACATCTTTGGGGGGTACACGAGAGAAATTGTGTAATGGCAGCTTTAATTTGCATTATAATAATAATCGGCATTTAAGGGGTTTAAATATAAAATGTATGCTGGTAGTGGTACACAAATCAGCTGGTAAATATGAAAGCTGGTATGCAGTAAGAAAAAGTGGGAACCTCTGATCTCGTCTAATCTCCTGTACAGCATGTGCATAGGGTATACTCCAGTTCCCCCTGCTCTGACCCCAGTAAAGCATGTTGTCAAGAGGCACCCAGTCTTAACGTGGACTGGCTCAAGAGTCCAATGCTTCCCTTGGCATCCTGCACTACCCAAAAATTGTGGTTTATTTCTAGTATTCTAATGCATCATGCCTTTCAATTCTAGTTCTCAGATTGCCTGTCTCTGCCAGATTGAGGAGTTAAATAATATCCAATACTTTCATCCCAGGAAAGTATGTCAATCAAGTTTTGACTTGCTTCATTATAAGCTATACAGACTGTATTCCTTAGACCTCTCGTAAAGCATTTACCCCACCTCTTGAATTGTTTTGTGACCCTCTTTCATACACTTTCCAATTTTTCTGCACCTTTTCAAATGCACTTGCCAAAATTCCTAACGGGTGAGGCTAGGGAATGGTTTCATCCATACACTAAATGGAAATTGTCAGGAAGAATAGGCCAATAATATATTTTGCAAGAAACCACTACAATTTAAACTAAAGTGGTTTTACTAAAGCTAGCAGCCATTGAGGTTTTTTCATGATTTGAAGAGGGGGCATGGAAGTCAAACACCAATCAAGATAATGTACCATAAAGTTAAAAACACTCAGTACCCTTCTTTATGAAGAATAGCCTCTGGGCAACCACAACCCTTCCAGGAACACCAGGGATGAAATCATAGACAAGAGCTCGGATGTAACCAAATTCACTATTCCTGAGAGAAGGTAAAACAGAGAGAAAGTGCACATTTCTCACTTTGGTCTTCTCCTGAGTTAGCAGAAAAGAACATTAGAACTCAGCCATTCCCTGAATTTAGTCTCAGACCAGGAGAGTCAGAAGGGAACTAGGAGAAAGAGGAAAGAGGTCAAGTGCAAAAGGGGAAGGGATTAAGAAGGAGACATTCTCTCTCCCAGGTGACTGCTTTCCTTTTAACTCAGTTCATCACTGACTTTCATTTCTTTTCCTTCTCTATGGCTATGTCTGTTCTTAATCATTTAAGAAAATATATGTTTTTAGATATTTATTAAAAGCACCAGTAGGTGACATTAGCCATGTTAATGGTTAGTTCCCCTCTCCTCAAATATCCTCACTGATAGGGAGCTTGGTTGTCTGTTACTGATGGGCACTGAGAAGGAAATATAAAAATCTGTCATTCATAGATGGGAAAAGCATCAGGTTACTGTCATACCTTACTCTTTTCATCTCAATCCCCTCTGTCCCATTGGCCAGCACTACAGTGTTGGAACCAAAGAGCATCAGGGAGGAGGGCTGCTTCATCCACTTCACAAAGCTGATGGGAGACAGCTGGAGAGACTGAGGCAGCTGTATGGTAAAGGTGTCTCCTTCCAAGAACTCACCAACCTCTGAAAGGACAGGCAAAAAAACTGAAAATAAAACAAAACCACTGGATATTCAGAGGGGCTCCTCCATGGTTCTAAAAGGATGACAACCAATTCACTGTGCCAAAAGAACAAGGTTATTCTGAGAAACTAACAAGCCATAGGCTGAGATGCCTTGGGTTTATTTGCCAGTCTATATGAGATTGTCAGGGACAAATATGTGATAAATTAGATGTCCTCAGTGCTCACTGTCAGCTCCCTTGTGTACCAACTGAGGTTCAGTCTCTAATAACCAGTGATACACAAGGATATAAATAGAGCCTTCTGGTGGAAATGACAACACTTTAAAGTGTCCATGGTCAGGGGACTACAATCATATTAATAAGCAGCTTTACTTTTATAGCATCCAATACAACATGACATTTGAATATATAAATGGAAATCAGGCTGGACCTCCTCACTCCAACTCTGGTTGTAGATGAATATAGAAGTCTAAATGAGAGCTATGAACAGAATAAATGAGTCTCTACTCAGGGTGCTGCCTTCACAGGAAGATGTAGATGTTCAAGTGCTTTACTTTTTCTTTGTAGGGCAAAAATAACCCCTTAGAGATTCCCTGTTGGAGTGTGCTGGTTTGCAAAAAGAAGGATGTCTTATGAAGAGCAGGATTGCTAGAAATCCTAAACTTCTGGGGCTCAGCCTGGTAGCAAACACCACTTTCTAAATTATCACCTGGTATGAGTGTGTGTTGGCCATTTCTGGTAGTCTGGACCCAGAAACTGATGAGTCCTCACTGCATTCGCATCTGTGTACAGATACTGTGACCCCAGCAAACCCCTGCAGACATTTTTCAATGTATAAATTACAACCCCCAGCTATGTAGCATAGGGAACAGAAATAAGCATAATGCGACTGAAGATGCCTGTGCTCACCCTGAAGAGGGCAGGGCACTCACGCTAGTAGCTGTAGCTCTTTCGTACCTATTGGCAGCCTTTCCAGTACAAAAAAGTATCTCAAGTGGGAGGGATTTAACCTCTCGAAGTCAGTAAAATCATAAGCTTCAATCCATGCCTGTTTATCAGGCAACCTTGCTGTGGCCAATTCAGCCCAGAACATATTTGGGTAAAAATCATCCTCATCAATAGAAAACAACTTCAGATCCAGATGGTGATTGGCCAGAGCCATCTTTGGGAACAGCTCAGCAGTCAGTTCCAGCCTGCTTCGATAACTGCGAAAAAAAGAGAGCAGAGGTAACTAAGGGGGTTGTCTGCCAACATCATCATACTGGATGTGCCGCCCTGTATCATGGGCAAGTGTTGCCTGTGCTGGGAGGCCAAGGATAGAACCGGGGACTGAATCTGAGCTTTCCCATATCTAATCACTGTCTTCTAGGGCTTTAGAGGTCTTCTGCTTATAAATACTTTGCCAAGTCTTGTGTCACTCTCACCATTTGACTCAAACTCTCCCTGACCCTAAGAGGAGTCCTGGTCAGAGCAGAGAGCTGTGGGCTAGATCCTCTGCAGTTTTGAGGGGACTTAAAAATGTTTAAGGCAGCAGCTGAAGATTTCTCTAGGAAAGAGAAAAAAGCATCTCTTTGCCAACTTGACTGCAATTGCTTCTGCCCCAGTGGGTAGTGTTCCAGGGGCACATCAGGACTGAGAAGGTGCTGCAAGCTTTGCTGAACTCAGCTGGCACACTTCTTTCCTTAGCAGTGCTCTCTGCGGCAGCTTGAAGTAGCCTTGGTTGAGTAGACATCAAGCTGCTCTGATATCGGACTAAAGCTGGAAAAAAAATGGTTGCAGATACACTTCTTGAAAATTGCTGTGTCACTGCAGAGAACCTGTATGTAAGTCTCCATTAAGGCCAGTTTTAAGGATTTATGTAGGAAGCAAGTGGTTCAAATATTCAGGTTGACCCTTTACACAGCCAGGAATTTCATTCTGCATGGCAGACACGTTGATTACATTATGCTTGGTTTGAATTCTTGCCAAGGTCAAGGCAATAATCTTATTTTATCTAATCTTGTTCTCACCATTTCCAGCTATGCCATCACCACCTATAAAGATCAACTTCTTCATTACAGGAACTGGTACAGTTACACAATTAGAGTCAAACCTATAAATCATATATTCATACAACTTGCATGTCAATACGTGATATATATTCATATAGTCCCAGGCTTACGACAGAACTAGCACTGTTCAAAACTTACCCATGGGACTGGGGTCCTTGGGCAGAGTAGAATTTGTACCAACCGATCATGTATGGCTGGTAGTCCCCAGACACAGAGATTTGGAAAGTGATTTTCCTTCCAGGAGTTACTCTGATGAGACAAACTTGCTCTCCAAAGGCATCACAAGCAGTTTTATTGAATGCTGTTATGCTGATGCCAGGGTCTAGAAGCAGAGAGAGGCCATTGATCATCTTTACCTGATAATCATGGTAAGCAGCATTTATCTGCAGCTGCTTCTTACCATCATTTTATTAGGTCAGTCCAGGTAGGCAATGTCAGATGGCTTAAGCCATGCTGCCCATGCAGTCCTGCTGTCACTTCTTCTCTAGACTTGGATAGTGCCATGCAATGGGCTGGGCATTTCCCCTTGAGGACAGCAAAGGAAGCTTTCCTCTCC